GAACCAGAAATCCAGCGATAAGCGAACAAGTATCATCATTAGCTGACCCTTCCTGCCCAGCCGCTGCAGGATTCCGTGTACGACTCCTGTTGGACCAGCAGAGGAGCTGTACGGGTAAAGGGTATTATAATTTGTATATCAGTACACTTGGTGGGGGGTGATTTGGTTTTACTTTCGTGTTTTTTTTTTTATAAAAAGAAAAACAAAAGCACAGGTAGGCGCATGCAATCCCCTTACTGTCCCGTATACCGGGGCTCTTCGTTATTCGTATGCAGACCACACTACGTATTGTGGTGTGTGTTGTTGTCTCATGTCGGATGATAAGAGAGAGAGAGAGAGGGGGGGGGGGGGCACATGACGATGTACTGTGGGGGATGCTTCTGCCTAATGATATTATTTATTTATTATTATTTATTACTGATATTATTATATTATTACTGCCCGCCAATGCAACACCACCCCTTCGAGTATCATTAGCCTGTAATACAGCAAGGGCACTCACCGTCACGCTCACTGCCACGCTCACTGTCAAGCTCACTGTCAAGGCTCACTGTAGTCTGTACCTGTACCCAAAGCCCTAGGGCACACTGCTACGCTTCTGATCTGCACACTGCGCTGCACTCTGCACTGCACCGCACTGCAGTCACACCGGCCGGGTCCAACCGATCGATGTCGAGTGTCGTGGGACTCTCTGAGAGTATTACTACTCGTATATATCATCACTGTAATCACAGGTTCACTCTACGGGAAGATAGTGCAATAGTGCAGTATGGACATTATAGGGTACCGACCACTCTGTGATACCCGGTAGGGTAAGATACGCTTCATTACCGTACAGAAGACGTGTGCAGTGCAGTGCACGCTACAGCTCATACCCAGCTCTGCCCTCTGCCCCCGCGACACCGCGATGGCTGACGAGACATTCAGCCTCCCGCGCAGAGTACATCGTGTAGAATATGCAGAATCCGTTGAGAAGTGAACCGAACAAGTTGCGGGGGAGGGGAGAGGGGGGGGATGTGATTCTCAGACTCGGGGGGGGGGGGGAAGCAGAGAGAGTACGGGGGGGTATCATCACATATTAGTAATAATCCCCCCCCCCTTCCCTCCCAAGTCCATGGCAATACGTGCACTCTTGTTTGTGTCTGCATGTACGAGTATCAATCATCATCATTACGAGTACACATGGCATCACCACCTTGCCATGATGATACACTGCATATCAATACCCTGCAGCATTGCATAGCAGCGATAGCAGTCAATGTCGACGGGAGAGCTGAGAGGGAACCCTCCGCCGTCCATCCTGCTCTCACTCTCGCTCCCCGAGGCAGAGACGAGGCAGAGAGACTTGCTCCGGAGTCCCGCAGTGGAAGAGAATGCACCCCACGACGCCACCAACCTCTATAGACTTATCTCTTTGACGTTATGGCTACAATAATACTCCACATTATAATCCGTGCTCCCGTACATGTAATCTGTACGGTAGAACCAGGACAGGATGCATCACCGCGTGACACGAACGCGGGGGGGTTCAGAGCATTCCAAACGGCTCAATATCCAGCCATCGCCACCGACAGCAGAATGCCGACTACCTACCGAGTGATGATCTGTACATACTCTCGTACATATAATATATCCACATCATGTCCGGAACATTGCGCCACCTTATCTCAAACCACTCCCGCCATCACATCAAACTACAACCCAGCAGCACGGCGGACATCAGAAGACAGCATACAGAGAGATATAGCCTCCATTACAACTATCATCCATGTTCTGTGAACCATCACCTTTTCCCCAAATCTCCGCATGCTTTTGCCCATAGCGCGGGATTATAGATGCAACGATAAGGATAAAAAGTATATGAGCGATAACAACAAATCAACTTCCTCTGATGAAACCAAAGAGAATAAATAAGATGTAATAGTAAAAATAAGAATAAATATTGTCGAGGAAAGGAAAAAAAAAAAACACACAAAAACTTCGCTCATCAAGGACAAATCAAAAAAGAAAGAGAAGAAGAAAAAAGAAGAGAAGAAACATCAGATGGGTTACCCCATCTTGACCCTCACTGCAGTCCACCTCTTCCTGGAAGGCGACCTCGAATCATCAACATCTATATCCGACTCTCCATCTCCATCTTCCCCTTGATCCTCCTGCTCTCCTACCTCCTCAGCCTCCTCCTCCTCCTCCACCTCCACCGCCTCCTCCTCCTCCACCAGGTCCTCTTCATCGTCATCGACAGCGTCAGCGTCACCGCCGGGAGCGCTGGCGCTGGCACTGGCACTGGCGTTGGCATTGGCAGGAGCACCGTTCGTATCACGATTACTCATCCGCTGCGTGAAAGCAGATATCCTGTCCCTCAATCCCGCCGCCGCTCCGCTCCTCTTGACCGTACCGTTCGTACCGGTCTGGCTAGTGCTGAAACTCGAGTGGCTCGTCTGCGGTCTGCTCTCGATGGGGGCGGGGGGCAGGAGGGGACCGGGCGTGTTCTGCTGAGACCGGGACTGGGGAGATTGCGGCTGTGACCGGCGTCTGCCGCCGCCGCCGCCGCCGGTGTATCGGAACGACGGTGTGGGCGGGCCACGAGGCACGCTGTCTGTTGCCGTCGTGCTACCATTTGACGCCCGCCTCATACCTAGACCTCGTCCACGTTTCCGGTCAGGGGGAGTCGTCGTCAGCCAAGCGCGGGATTTCGGTCTCGGCTGCTCTTGCTGCTGCCGTTGCTGCTGCTGCTGCTGCTGCTGCTGCTGTTGCTGCTGTTGATGCTGTTGCTGCTGTTGATGCTGCTGACGTTGTTGCTCCTGTTGCTCCTGGTTGCTGTTGCCGTTGCCGTTGCCGTTGCTGTTGCTAGGGCCATTCCCCATCGTTGATCTGTATGACCTCCCGCTAGCCACGCTGCTGCTGCGGCTGGCCGATCGCGGTATGGGGATGTTGCTGTAGTTGTTGTTGTTGTTGCTGTTGCTGTGGGCGCTCTGGAGGGACCGTGGCGGGGATCGTGAAAAGTCGACGGCGTCGTTATTGTTCCCGTATAGGCTGCTAGACGACTCGTCACCGCTGTAGTTGCTGCTGTCGTAGATGCTCCCCGCATAGTACGACGAAGCCTTGTTCTTGCCCTTGCCGTTATTGTTACCCTGCGAGAACTGCGACTGCGCGTACTGCGTCGACGGTCGCTGCGATGCGGAGGACGACGTTCCCGGCCGCGTGATCAGCGACGAGTTATTGGCCAGCTCCCGGAGTCGGTTCCGCTGCTCCGCCGTCGGCCGGTGCCGCGAGAACTTGTTGCCGATGATGGCGCCCGTGTGCGACAAGAGGGCTCGGATCACCGCCTTCTTGAACGCCATGGCCAGGTCCACGTTGGACCACACCTTGTTCTGCCACTCAATCACCGGCATGCGGAACACAAAGTCATGCACGTCCGCAAAGTTGCGCTGCTCACGTCCCTTGTAGCTTAGACACAGGACGACCGACTGCATCCGGACGTACGAAAAGGTGATGTAGTTGCTGGCCCGTGCAATCATCTTGGTCAGGTCGTCCGACGCCGCCGCCGCCGCCTGCTGCCTCTTGGCTGTCGCGGCGCTGCTGCCGGTCTCGCCGCCGCCGCCGCCGCCGCCGTGGTTCCGATTCCGCAGGCCGAACCGCTTCTTGCCATCCGCCCCGGGCGACTCCCGGCTGTCCCTGGACGACAGGCCCGTCGACGACCGTCCGAACGCTCCGCCCCTGGACTGTTGCTGGCTCAGGGCCCGCAGCGAGTCGAGCGACGACTTCTTAGCCATGGCCCTGGATCCCGCTGCTGCTCCTGTTCCCTGCCGGAACAGTCGGAAGCCGTAGTGGCTGTCGTTGACGTTGCCGCCTGCCGACTTTCTGCTGCTGCTCGTGGGCGACTGGCGCGTGTTGTGCGACGTTAGCGTCGGCTGCAGCCGCAGCTCCAGGGATCCCGGCCGCGTTGTAAAGTTGCTGGAGAAGCCTCCCCTCGAGGGTGTCATGGGACGTAGATGGCTTGAGAGGCTAGTCATCGACTCCGCGTCATTATCGTTGTGGCCGTTGCCGTTGCCGAAGTCGTCGTCGTCGTCGGTGATCTTGAGCACGAGGTTCGAATCGTTGTCCTCGTCTCCCCGTCCATCGCTGGCAGGGGTGGACGGCTCGTCCTTCTTGTCGTCGCCCTTCAGCCCCGGGAAGATGTAGTGCATCAGCCGCTTGCCGACCACGTACTCGAGCTGGACCCTCATGGGGAACAGGTCCACCTCGAAGCGGTCCATAACCGTGATGCCGGCAATCGCCTCGAGCTTGTACCAGTAGACGCGGATCATATCCTTCTTGCCGCCGTCGGCGTTGAAGCCGCCGCCATCGGTGCCACTCAGGGGGGTGGCGGGAGGTGCCTTCTCCGAGTCCTCGTACGGCGCGATTATCGCCGGGTACGAGGCGTCCGGGAGGAGGTTGAGTCCAAGAATCTTGCCGACGCGGATCAGATTCATGTGCGAGCCGTCCGAATTGTCGGTGCGGTCGTAGATGAGGTCGTTGAGCTGCAGCTCCACCAGGGGCTCGTTGGAGTCCTGCATCAAGTGCCAGACGATGTCGCGCACCAGGATGTTCCACTTGAGCAGGGCGTTGCTGTCGGTCGACAGGTCGAAGCGCCGCTGCGACGACGTTATGGCCTTCATGACGAAGAAGAGCTCGTCCTCGGCCGCCGCCAGGTCGCGCTCCAGGCTCAGCCGGTCCTCCCACCCGCGCTTGTCCAGGTACTTGGAGTAGACCTGGAAGTGCGTCTTGATGTCGCCCATCTGCCTGATGCGCTCCTGCAGCCGGTGGATCGTCGCCGGCGCCCCGCTCAGGTCGGAAAAATCTGACGCCAGCATAATCTTCTCCAGCCGCTCCGTCCGCGTCTTCTCCAGCGGCTCGCTGTACATGAGCAGATCCAGCACGATGACGTACATGGCGTAGTACTGGGACGAGTTGCACAGCGCCCGCACCTGGGGGAACTCGACCCACAGGTTGTCCATGCGGTTCTCGTTCGTGGTCGCGGTAGGACCGGAGGAGGCGGTGGCGGCAGCGGCGCTGTCGAGGTTGCCGAAGTTGCCGCTGTTGCTGGTCGGCGACAGCGGCGAGGTCGCGTCTGGGCCCTGGTTCTCGGTGCCGACTTCGGCATTGTACTTGAGACGGAGCGTGTTGAACTTATCGTAGCGCAGGACGGCAGACGTCTTCTCGACGACGCGCTTGAAGCCAAACGGCGCCGCCTGGAAGTCGAACATGACCTCCATCGGCACCCAGGGGGGCCACGAAGAACCCCCCACCGCACCGTACCGGCTACCCGCGTACATGGACACGAGGTTGGTCATGAACCATTTGTTGTGGGTCACAAAGAATTGCGTGCTGTCCATGTTGACCAGGAAGCGACGCTGCACCAGGCCGCTCACCGTATCGGACAGGCGCTTCTTGTCCATCACCTCCACCACCTTGAGCTCCATGCCCTTCGCCGTCACCAGCACTACATTCTTCTTGTTCTTCTCGCTCTGCAGCTGGATCTGCGGCGCGATGAGACGCACGTGGTAGCTGCTCTGCGGGCTAAACTCGTCCGAGATGCCGTGCGCCAGGTCCTCGATACCCCTGCTACCGCCGGCCCCGTCGCTGTCGCCGTGAGTCGTGCTGAAGCTGGTGCTGTGGAATCTGCGGCCGTCGCCCAGGATGTCCTTGATGCGGTCTTCTATATCTAGGCCGCTGCTGTCCTTGTCCGACGATGCGGAGCTGGTCTGCGAGGTGTCCAGTCCCGAAACGGGCGCCGTGGCCGCTCTAGCAGGGGGCTTGTGCATCTTAGCCCTGTTCTGCTCCTCGACCAGGTCGAGGATAAACTTGATGGCCGGTCGCGATAGGTAGTAGATGAGACCTCGCCGCTGGCTGTTCTGGTGGATATACCGCAGGACAATATTCCGGAGCACATTGTTCCACTTGAGCTGCATGTTATGCAAGATGAACCGGTTCTTGAACTCGCTCTCAAACTCTGTCGTGGTCGGAATATCCAGCGGCTCCTCCTGTTGCTGCTGCTGCTGCTGCTGCTGCTGCTTCTGCTGCTGTCCATCCATTGTCGATGACGAGTCGCCGCCACCTCTGCCGAAACTACGAGAAACGGATGCCGCTGACGACGGGTCGAGGTATTCCTTGAGATTTATGCTGGCTGCCGACGGCTTGTACTGGATCTGCTGCAGCATGTCCTCGAGGAAGGCCTTCTTCTCTTCAAGTACGGTGGTGTGACGTCTGAGAGCCTCAAACTCGGCCACCGACTCCGCGTCGGCGCCGTCGCCCTTGATGACCCTGAGCTCGGCCTCGCCGACGTTGCGCGTATGCGTCTGCATCTGATCGCGGAGCTGTTCCAGGCGCTCCTCCACAAGCTTCACCTGCACCTTCTTGGGGTCCTCGTCCTGGCTCATGATGCAGAAGTGGGTGGGCTCATTGCCAAAGGGGCTGGTACGAGACGGGTCTCCAGCAATGGTGCCGTCGATGTCCGTCTGGCGAAAGTACGTCAGACGCGGCGCGAAGCCCAGGGGCAGGATCTGCGTGTGCGGGTGAGGCTCCGTCGGTAGGATCCAATCCAGCTCAACGAAGTCATCCATGTCGATCCAGCTGTAGTCGTTATCGGGAATGGTAAACCGCGACAGGTCGGGCCTGTCGTCCTGGTTGGCGATGAGGGCCGAGATGGACCCGCGCTTCATGGCCTCCGTGGTCGTGCCCTTGAGACTGGCCGAGACGGCACGCAGGTCCGCGTTCGCCATGCTGAGCTGTCCTGCGTGGATCTTAATTCGCGAGGCTCGGCTCTGCGTGTTCTTGCCCCTTCCGAGCGTGTCGAATTCCTCCCGTCGCTGGTGCAGATCGAGCATGAAGCTGTCCAGGCGGACCTTGAGACCCGTGGCCGAGACGGCGCTCTCGGAGTACTCCTCGGCATCCTTGTGTTTGTAGATGTGGCTGAGGAACAGGGGCGCAAGCAAGAGGCTGTACTTGACCGTCGCTAGGTGGCGTCCAAACTTCTTACTGCTCTTCTCACGGCCTGGGAACAGGGCGCCCTGGCGGATCGGCAGGGAAATGGGCTGCCCAAACAGAGCCCACCAGGCGAAGAAGTGGGTAAAGAACCTAGGCGTCAGGTGAACAGCGTTGTAGCTGGTCGAGGGCTCTGCGCTGTCCGTCGTCCAGTCCCTGTCCGCGGGTGCGCGTACGGCAATGGACAGATGGAGGTGACGGCTCCTGAAGCCGCGCATGGCGTCATAGGGCAGTCCGTTCTCCGATTTGGCGTACTGAGGACTCTTGATGACCACGTCGTAGTGCGGCTTGAACTCGAAATTGCGGCGGCCATCCTCAATCGCTTGCTCGAAGCTCAGGCCACACATCCACTGGACGTTGCCCGAGAGTTTCATCACCACCTTCTTGAACACGGCAGCCGCTACGGCGCCATCAACGGGTAGATGCGTCCCCACGCATTCCTCCTGGCGTGCGACGTTTCGCACCTGGTGCGTGTAGTCGGGAATGGCGAGCACGTACTCGCCGCTGTCGACCGTCATGAAGCGCTTGGCGTCGCCCTCGGCGTTGATGTTCCACCTGACGTTGTTGCGCCAGCACATGATGAACCCAGCGCCGTCCTTGGTCAGGTTGTACGGATCGTGCGTGCCCCTGAGGCCCAGGTGCATGTCACCGTCGCCTCTCCACGTCACGTGGATGCGAGAGTGGAAGACGAGGCGGAGCTTATCCCAGAAGCCGACACTCTCGGACGGGTCCAGACGCGGCTTGGTGAAGGACTCGATGGCCATCATCATATCCTGGATCGCTGGCTGGTAGCAGGGGCCCCAGGTGATCCGGGTAGGCAGTGCTGTATTGATGTCGATGTACACGTCCGAGAAGGACTTGACGGGACCGACGGTGCGGCGGACCTCGATAGCGAATCTCCCCGCGTTAGAATATGGCGGGGCATCTCTCCTCGCCGGCACCACCTCGACCTGAACACGCCGTGTCGACTCCACGCCGCGGTATTCTTCCGCAATGACAAAGTCCGTCTTGAGCGAGACGCTCTGCATCTTGGACGACTGGCCCGGCTGCAGCGCCGGGATGTGCAGGAGCGGCAGGGGGTAGTCTCGCAGCGATACGCGGGCCTCGCCCATTTCGATGGCCACGCTCATGGGCACGAGTAGACCGTACTTCATGCTTCGCGGCATCCCCTTGCCCACCTTGTGGAGGAAGTCGGGCAGCTCCGACATGGGGAAGGAGGGCTTGTCGATGGAGAAGCGGAGGTCGCTTATCATGGTGCACATGAGCGCCGGGCGCATGGGTACCTCGAGGATGTTCTCGACATCCCCTTCCTCGTCGGGGAAGGTGTCGTCGCCCCAGAATGAGGACCGGAGCTCCTTGGCGCTGTTGCGCGACATCTCGTACGCTTTGTCGATGCGCTTCTTCCACGACTGCTGATTGACCCGGTCGAGCTGGCTGCGTGCCGCCCGCTCCGTGACCTTGGCGTCGCCATTGATGCCGATCGTCTCCGAGTCAGGGTTGTACCTCGGGATCCTGACAAAGTCAGGCCCAAGGCTGCTGTCAGTGGGGGAGACGACATCCAGGCTGCGGCTGCGGAACCAGGAGGCGGTGCTGTTGCTGGTACGACCTCGCTGGAAGGCAGAACGCGAACGGGCCTTGACGGCGGGGTTGCCCCGCCGGCCCTCCTCATCTCGGACCCTCTTGATCTTGGCACGGAAGGCCTCCTCCCTCGCAAGACGCTGCTGCTGCTCGATACGGCCCGTGCGGTAGATCAGACCCAGCTTCCACTCAAAGGCACCATCCTCGAGCTCGAACAGCATCTTGCGGGTGCGTATCGACACCTTGGGGACCTTCTTGGGGCCCTCCGGATGCTTATCGAGGACGTACTCGTTGGTGCCCGTCTTGAAGCGGTGATGGAGCTGCTCGATGGCCTTGGCGGCGTTGACAAAGTTGTCGGTGATGCGGTGGACAATCACTTCGTGGGGGACGCCGATGCGTGCCGCCTCGCTGGAGATGTCCACCATGGTCTCCTCGACAATCTCCCTAGAGGCCGTCTTACGCTTCGACTTTCGGATATCAACCCTGGCCTGCTTCACGCTGACCATCCTCGCCCAGGCGCCCGACATGCGAGGCGGCTCGACGTAGAGGCGAAACAGCTTGGAGGTGAGGAATGGCTTAGCCCATCTACTCTGGCCGGCCTCGAGGCCGAAGACGTGCAGCATCATGACCGGGTCATCCGGGAACTCGGCCTTGACCTGCACGACCTGTACCTTGACATCGACGGTGACCATCTCGCGGGTGACGGACGAGAAGTAATCCTCGCCCTCGAGGGGGCCGGGCGATTCAGGCGGAGGGTCCCCGACGACGACATCGTTCTGCTGCTTCTTGGGCGTCGGGGCATCTTGACCCGTCTTCATAAATGCCCTGAGCAGAATCATGGCCGCCACGCCGACCGAATAGTGGCGGTATAGGGAGTAGTGAGCGAATATGCTTCGAATATTCGATTGGACATGCATCGTCGGGCCGTTATTATCGCTCAATGCCGAGAATGCAAGCTCGAGACGGGGCAGGTTAAGAAAGGGCTCCGCCTCGAGCTTCTCTACACTCTCGATGATCTGAGCCTCGATGCCGCTGGAATGGATGACGAGACGGCGTCCATCGCCATAGTGCTGAGGCTTCTTCCTGGGTCGCGGGGAGCTGGCAGGGGGCGACATCTCGGAGTCGGACTGCGTGATGGACCGGCTGTGCGTCCTCGTTCTCGGGACGCGACGCCGCATCAACTCCACCTTGTGGCCCGTGTACTCGGCCGCCAAGGTATCCAGATGCAGCGACACGCCTCTGGTATCGTCAGAGACATCCTCATCGACACCGGCCACCTCAATGTTGACATCTGTCGCCTCAATATGGTAGTGCGACAGCCACTGCGGCGAGGAGCGCAGGAAGCTTTGTTCCTGGCTAGTCCTCGAGACAGCACGCTTCTCGGGCTCCACGTCGATGCGTAGCTCCTTGACGATCTGCCGCAGACCGTCTGTGATCTCTGGACGGATCATACTGATGGAGAACGACTGAAGGTTGCCGGTTATGTCAACCGAGAGGTCTGGGGTGGCTGACAGTTGGATCCTGGAATCAAACGAGTCGGTGGTGATGAGGTTGAACCTCTCCCTCTCGTTGGTCTGATAGTAGAGGTGGCTGGATTGCATGCGCATGGAGCCTGAGAGGGCATAGTAGGATTCTTCCACGGGCGAGTGGGAGGATTCGAGGTCTACGGAGATGGAGGAGATGGAGGATATGATCAGATCGAAGTCGTCGGAGCCGCTTGTCCTCTTTAGGGGAGTGAGTTTTATACGCATGACGGGTTCATGCATGGAGACTTTGATGCTCGCCTTGGGGAGGAGGCGAGGTATGAGGGACCGGCGCTTCTCCTCGTGCGGCCGGGGCGGCTTCGGCTTGGGTTTGAGGAGGGCGATGAGGATGGGAAGGTGGCGGGGGTCGAGGTCGAGGGACGGTGACGTGATGACCGAGTTATTGAAGAGGATGTTTGCGTTCTTCTCCTCCAGGCTGCTGCCGTCCTGAGCGAGCTCCACCGTCTTGGAAGGCAGGGTGGTGCGCACGGTCGTGGTGGCCATGGGAATGTAGAGCAGCCTCTCGGGCTTTCCGTGGCCGTCATCCATCCCAAAAGATATAGAGAGGGCAGCGGCTAGGCCCTCGTGGGCAATATCCTTGGAGGGGAAGTACATGCGATGGGCCGGGGACTTGGGGTCCAGGCGGTGCAGATCGATACCCACCTCCTTCATGGCAGCGTTTAGCTGTAGAGGGAGAGCGCCCGGCTTGATCGAGCTGACTGCCATGGAGAAGCTGATGAAGCTGGCGGCGAACTGGACCTCCTTGATGCCTCGTAGGGTGGAGCTGAAGAATTCCTTGGAATCCGACACGGTCTGCATGAGGTGATCGCTCGTGCTGCCCGGCTCATCAACTTCTTGCATGACATCACCGAGCAGCAGCTTTGCGGATTCGTCGGCGGCGGCGGCTGCAGGGGCCGCGGCCCTGGCATCCTGGCGGCAGGCCTTGAGCTTCTCCATGCACAGCCGCAGATCATCGTAGGGGATGTGCACCCTCCCGAGCTTGAGAGAGACGGTGGCGTCGCGTAGACCCTCCTTTGACTCGTACAGGTAGCCATGAATGCTAAGGATGGCGTGATCGAGCACTTCGAGGGACTCCTTGCCCTCGGCGGTGAAGAGGATGCTGCGGCCGGTGATGATCCACTCAGCATGGCGATCCTGCTTCTTAGCGTCGGGCCTCTGGAAGAGGTAACGGGCACGGTCGACCATCTTGCGCCTCGTATCGACAGCCATGGTGAAACCGCCGACCTGGATGTGGCCGACATCGACGACATTGATGGTTGAGTTGGTGGCGACAACGTCGACCATGCGCAGCCACTCGACCTTACGGTGGAGTCTCTTGATGCGTTCCTTTATCTTTGTGAGGGTCTTCCAGGTGTGGCTCCGTCCGGGCGTCTCTCTCGGTGCGGCATGCCGTGATTTCGGTAGCGGCGTTGACCTGTCCTTCCCCTCTTCCGCCTCTTCCTCTCTCCCCCCTTCCTGTTCCTTGCCTTGCTTCTCCTCGTCGGGTCCGCCACAGTCGGCCGTCTCGGATTCGGGAGGCTTGGGAGCTTCGAGCTCGCGGATATCGAGAGTGACGACGAGTTCATTCAGCACCAGACTCAGCCATGTCGGTTGTGCAAAGGTCGGACGGTGGATCGAGAAGCCAAGGCCCCGGATCTCGACACGGCATCCATCTCGTGGGGTGTAGGCCAGGCGTCGGAGGGAGAAGTAGCCGATGCGCTGGATCGAGATGCCGGTCACGATGCGAAGGAGGGCGAAGAGGACGAACGAGGACAGGTAGGTAAGGACGACGACGCCAAAAACAAAGGTAGGGTTGAGCAAGGCCATGATTTCGTAGCGCGGGCCGAAGGCCAGGACCAGAACCAGGTTTGCGTACTGCAGCAGCAGGGGATCGCATCAGCACCGGGCACCGATAACTTCGCGAGAAGATGAGGGGAAGAAGGTGATGATGCTCACATATAGTCACTGGAACAGCTGTACATGGTCTCCTCAATTGTCCTGGTGTCCGGTATCAGGGGCACTCCATGGCACCAAGGAGAGGGGGGAGAAGCCTAAGATGAGCTGGGGAAAGGAGGTAATATCTCTCGGTCCCTGACCCACGTGGAGGGGGAGGTCAAGGGGGAAAAGGGTCGTGAAATGCACGGAGGGTCCGATGTGCTCGTAGATTATTGCGTGGACAGGACAGCTTCGGAGGACCTCAGATTCGTTTCGTCTTTCGGTCGGGATCGGAGGCGAAGCAGGTTAGCCGCAGATGCCGTCGCGAAGCCGGAGTGTCTTGTGGCTGGTAGTGGTAGTAGTGGGAGATTGCGTGACGTCAAGGAAAAGAGAAGACCACGTCGCACTCCGTACTTGCGGTAGAGATGAAGGGGAAGGGAAGGGTAAATAAAACAATGTCCAAAATGAGAATAAAATAAAAAAAGAGGGCGAGGGGGATGACGCAGGTGGAGGATGCAATCGAAGAGGGAAACAGCCACCAGGCAAGCTGATGCAATGCCTCGAACAGTTACAAATTCCCCTCAAAAAAAAAAGATAACATTAGGCCAAGACGGGACGTGGATTATTGGTTCAATGGTGGCTCAATAGTTATCAGTGACAGTCTACTGGTAATAGCAGTTTTCCATCTTTTTGGTGTGGGTGGCGGTCCATCAAGTGAATAGCCCCACCATTCGGTGCGATCTATGAAGGATACGAATAACCAAGTAATAACCATGTACTGGTAAACAATACCGTCGATCAATGGGGAGCTTGAGCAGCCCTAGTATCGATGCCTGGTGCTGCACGGGTAGTAATAATACCACTGCTGCTATTCACCAAGAAACCATGGTCGACAGTACGGCACCATATCGTCATCGTCATGCATGTCATGCCTCCATCATGACCCGATACATACAAAAGGCCACGTCAAAGACTTGACTACCCTGCATCGCCCCCCGCCCTTTCTCAACCGGCTTTGCCGGCTTTGTCGCCTCGTTCGCTGATCAAGATACAGTTTGTACCAGGTTTTGCTTTCTGATGAAATCTCACAAAGGTGTCGGTGCAGTTGGTGTCATGTATCAGTATCATCCAGAGTGAGCTACCCTTTTTTTTTTCCCTCTCTCGGGGAGTCACACCTTGTTGGAAGAATGGTTACTCATTCAGTAAATATATTATGTCACCTCCAGTAGTTCGTGGGCCAGACCATGCAGCTGCTGTCAACGACACAATGCAGGACAGATCCAGCAGCGTAACATGTGGTAGTCTGTTGAAACTTCTCATCTGCTCTCCGATGACCGAGATTGGGTTTTCAACGCTGCTATACGTTCATCGATCAGTGCGATATCCGCATCTATCCGGAGCATCTTCTCCCCCATCACGTCGAGATATTCATCATCCGACAGCTTCTGCAGCGGACTCCATCTCGAACCAAGCCAGCCATCTCCTTCCTCCTGTGGGTTAACTCTGCCTCCTGTCAGGAGATTGACGGCGAGCTGTCCACCGACGGCCACGACTCCGCAGATGACCAGGTTGGACCGTAGTCCCTTGAGACCGTCTGATATAGCAATGTGGTCAGCGAACCCGTTGGTAGACGGAGAGTCATAGGGAAAGTGGTGAATCAGCAAGAAGAAGCAAGAATCACTCACTCCCCGAACCAAGAGCCATGAGACACCCGGTAGGTATGCTCGCCAACGCGCTCGCCTTGACTCTGTCAGTGGGCGCTGTGCCGCGTCCCTCAACGTCTGCTCCACGAAGCACGAGCTGCCGTGAAACTGTAGTTTGTCCGTCCTTGCGTCAGCACGACATAAGATGCGAACATATCGTGTTTCCGAGGCATACATACACCAATACGTGCTTCCCAAGAGAGTCCATTGGGATCCCGTCATGATTCCACTCATGACGGGGCTGGCGTTCTTGAGAATACCGGCCGAGATGCCGATGAAGGCACCGGCAGCACCTGGCAAAGCCCAGAGTCAGTATGTGTCAGGTGAGATCTCAACAGTGTCCAGATCAGAAGACGACTCACCGCATGAGATCCCAAACTGAAGAGGCGGAACCATGATGTCAGTCATGGTATCACTACTTGGCATACGCGTTGGCCGGATGATATCTGCTGTAGGATTGGACATGGCGAGGTATGCGAATGGATGGATGCAAATCAGGCACAATGCAGTATTATTACAGGACAAAAACGAACGTGCATGCAGTTAGGCAAAGACAGAGGAATGAGAAGCTGATATTGTTACATTGGCACGTGCGCAGAAAGCAAGCCTCGCGAGGTTTGACGACTTTCGGGGTTCGGTTTACTGAATGGGCAAACAGAGAGAGGGAGCGGCGCGGGAGAGAGAAGCCACGAGGGTGGATTCCATTGATGACAAATCTGACCAATAAGGAAAGAACCAACGAGGTCGCTCTTTTCTGCGGGTGTGAAAAGGGAAAGAGAATAGCGCTAGCCCTATCTAGGAACATTCTTTCCACAAGCCTGGTGGTGTTGGTGAAAATTAAGGCAAACAACCCTCCTGGGCGCCTCCATCACGGTTTTTTTTTTCCCCTACGCCGAGCAAATTATTATCACTCGACAGGACCCCCTCCCCCGCTACCCCCCCCCCCCCCCCCCCCCCCCCCCCCCCCCCCCCCCCCAGACAACGTAACCGATCTAGAGGTTCATCATCCTGCATCATACAACCGCCGTCTTTCTCGACTCGACTGCCAATCTCCAGACCACGTTTGGCTGGCATACTCCCCGTCGTTGTCGCTTTCCCATATTTTCTTTACGATCGACCCCGTCGTCGACCCACTCCCACACACACCACTCAGCCCTCCCTCCGTGTTAGAGAGGATCTTGTCGAACCGTCTCACTTCTCGCTTCCCGTCTGCGCGCCGGGCTTCGTCGATCCACTGCGCGTGGAAGCTACCAAGCCGCAATCATGGGTTGGTTCTATCCGAGGCCATACGATTGGGCGCTGTTGCCATTTGTGCGTTTGTGCGTTTGTGCGTTTGTGGCTGACATATATTTTGTGTGTGCGCAGCTCCCAAGAAGAAGGAACAACAGCAGAAGATGTCCCTCGGGGACTTTCTGACTGACACTGGTTCGTACCGGATTGCCATCTTCAACTCCGGCCTTCTACGTGGCCATTCTCGGTGGCGAGGTGCTGACGGCAACCCTATGCAGGCTTTGGCGGTGGTTCCTGGGCTGATGAGGTCGAGGAGACCTATGGTGAGTTCTCCAAGCCCTTTGTGCTTACACCTGAGGGGGAGGGAGAGAGAGAGAGAGAGAGGAACCTATACTAACAGATATATCTAGTGACCGGTAAGCAATAGCGCAGAGCGCATATATTATATGGTTTTGCCGATCGATGAGGAACTTGACCAGACGACTGACCCCTTCCCCCCCCCCCGCAGGCACCCAGCCACTGCCCCCCAGCGACCGCGGCCGCTCCACGGGTACCATGGGCACTATGGGCGGCTCCATGTTTGGCGGCGACCGAGGTATGGACGACTTCTTGCCTGGTCGCGAGGACGCCTTGAAGAACTGACTTGTTTCCCTGCAGGCGGCTACGCGTCCCGTGACTTTGGCCCCCAGCCGATCCCCGATAAGCCTCCCTACACTGCCCACCTGGGTAACCTCTCCTACGAGACTACCGTCGAGAACGTCGAAGAGTTCTTTGAGGGCTGCGACGTCGGCACCGTCCGTCTCATTGAGGACCGCGAGATGCAGCGTCCCAAGGGTTTCGGATATGTCGAGTTTACTAACGTTGAGGGCCTGAAGAAGGCTCTGACTCTGGATGGTGACATGTTCCAGGGCCGCATGATCAAGATCAAGGTCGCCGATCCTCGTAAGTGCTCAACCCCCCAGCCAAGAGACTCTTGCCTCTAGCGTCCCGACACCGACACGTACTGACATGGATCTTGCCCTTCTTGTAGCTCGCTCAGGCGACAGTGGTCGCGGTGACTTTATCCGTGACATGGGTGACTGGACCCGCAAGGGCCCCCTGGAGCCTGCTGCTGCTCCTACTCGCCGCGGACCCTCCGACTTTGGTGAGCGCCGCGGACCCTCTGAGTTTGGCGAGCGTCGTGCCCCTCGCGACCCCGCCGCCCCCGAGGGCAAGACGGCCCGCGAGCTTCCCTGGGAGCGCCGCGGACCCCTGGCTCCTCTTCCTCAGGAGGAGGCTGCTCCTGGCCCTCGCGAGGGCTCGCGTCCCGGCCCTGAGGGCATGGGAGAACGCAGCGACTCGTACCGCAGCAACCGTCGCGCCTCGCCAGCCACATGGGGTGAGGGATCCGGCACTGCCCGCCGCGAATACACTGAGCGCCCCGAGCGCCCCGAGCGCCCCGAGAAGCCCGAGCGTGCTGCCACCGCCGCCGACAAGGACTCCCAGTGGCGCGAGCGCATGCGCCCCGACGTCCCAGAAAGTACACCCGCATCTCCCGTCTCGCCGTCTGCTGCGCCGGCCCCCGCCGGCCGCCCCCGCCTGAACCTCCAGAAGAGGACTATCACCGAGCCCACCAACGCTGCCGTCTCGGCCACCGACTCCAAGGCCAGCCCCTTTGGTGCCGCACGCCCCATCGACACAGCGACCCGCGAGAAGCAAGTTGAGGAGAGGCGCCAGCAGGCCATCATCGAGAAGCGGGAGGCCGACGAGAAGGCCAAGGAGGAGCGTCGCATAGCCAAAGAGGCCGCCATCAAGGCCGAGGCCGAGGCCGCACAGGCTGCAAAGGAGGCCGCCGCCGCCAAGGAGGCTAAAGCTGCTAAGGACGCTGCCGATGCTGCCGCAACTGAGGAGACCAAGACCGAAGAGACTGCCGCGGCGCCGGCTGAGACCAACGGAGCTTCGGCTGAGGAGCAGCCGCAGCAGCCGCAGCAGCAGAAGGTTCCCATCCGGACCCGCGAGCCCCGTGAGCCCCGTGAGCCCCGTGAGCCCCGCGAGCCCCGCGGTGACGCCCCCAAGCCCCGGGGCTTCGACGCCGGTAACTGGCGTTCCGCTCCTGGCGGCGAGCGTGGTGGCCGCGGACCTCGCGGAGGACGTGGTGGACCCCGCGGCGGCAGTGGTGGTAACCGTAACGACAACAACCGCGGCTCGCGTTCGTCCAACGGACCCCAGCAGCCCACGTCGCCCACCGAGTCCGAAGCTCCGACGCAAGACGACGATGGCTGGACGACCGTTCCCAAGAAGGGACGCCAGGGAAGGGCGTAAACACCGTTCTTCCAAATCAACAAAAGCAACATTGAAAACACCAACCAAAAGGATATAAAAAAAAGAGCATTCATTTTCCTCTCACCTTCGATCCCAGGGAATAAAAAAAAAGAACAAAGGGAAAGAAAAAAAGAGTTGTACATCTTAAGCATATTCCGATTCTTCCCTTTTTCTCTCACCTGATTCCCGAAAAAGTCAACTTACTCCCCTCTCTTGTTTTTCTCTTTTTTTTTCTCCACGCTTTAGTTTTTGTTTTCATGAAGGGAAAGATGTCAAGGAAGGTAGGGGGCAAGAAAAAAAGATTCAATGAGTTTCTAGAACACCTTTGCTGGATTTTTGTTATGAATGACGCGTACGATTTCCATTTCTTTTGATTTTCTTTTTTATTTCTCTTTGTGTTGTGATACCTTGTTTTTTTTTTCGATGTGGTAAAAAAAAAAAAAGAAAAGGAAACCATCTCTTGACGACAAGAAAGAAAAAAGGAGGAAGACATCGTCGCACGTTTACGCAAGTGGAAGTCTTTTGGGGCAAAAAAAAAAAAAAGGACGAGGAGGGAGAGACGTGAACCATGATTCTGGTCTTGATTTTGGGAACAAAAGGAGAGAAAAGGGGGCAAGGGAAGAAAAAATGGCAACAACACATTGAGATATATATATATAAAGAAAACATGGATTTAAGAGAACTTTTTTTTTAAAAAAAAAATCTTCATGTTTGGTGTTTTGGTGTTTTGGTGAGCGTAGTCGTACGATGCCTCCGGCGGCCCTACCGCGGGGTTGGTTCTCGCTACGCTCGCCGCCGCCAAGTATACGTCCATTACTTGTATGTTTGATCAGTATTACTATATTTCGCCTGGCTCGTCGATAGACATGTATGCTTGATGCATTCGTATGCTTGATGCATTCGATAGAAGAGGATGTGTGTGTGTCAAGAGAAGTGTTGTTCTTAGAAGAAATCTCATTCCATATATTATTACTCCATACTCCACATATACCCGGAAGGTAGGAAAGGGGGGGGGACAAAATGATCACAACCTCTTCTGCCCAACCTCATGGTCATAGTCATCCTCTTCGGGCCCAGCCACAGTCCTCCCAATCCATATACCCAGGGCCGTGACGGCCGCACCGACGAGGAACCAGGCCTCGAACCAGCCGTCCGCAAAGGCCGGCGTCATGATCGGGGGAGCGTCGGAGATGACGTTCCCGCCGGTGGCGGGCCCCCTGGCCAACAGGGCCCCCGTGACGTCGCTGCTCACCTCGAGCGGCAGGTGGCTCCTGAGCAGGAGGGCCGACGATATGACGTACGTGGCCGCGACGTGGCCGACGGCGAGGGCGAGGGAGGCCTGGGCGCGGCGCTGGATGACGGGCGGGGCCCACCGCGAGAACAGGCCCAGCGTCTGGACCACGCTGCTCGCGCTGAGGAGGAGCATCACCCCGCTCAGGAGGAAGCTGAAGGTGCGGGACCAGGCTATCTGGTCCAGGTTAGGGTCCCAGTGACGTGCTGCCAGGCCCAGAAAGCGGTTGATCGGATCGGTCGACGAGAAACTGCTGCTGCTGCTGCTGCTGCTGCTGCTGCCGCCGCCGCCGCCGTCGTTGAACAGCGACGTCGGCAAGGAATATGAATAAGAAGAAGGGGAAGAAGGGGAAGGAGGAGGAGAAGAAGAGGTGATTCGACGGAATGTAGTCACCCACGTGGCCAGGATGCGGTACAGGCAGTAGCAGCAGAAGACGTACTTGGGCGCGAGGAGCGCGCGACCCAGACGAGTCGACGAACGCTGCTCGGCGTCCATCTGGCCGCGCGCGGCGGTCAGGCTGGACGCCAGGTTCGCCTCCATGGCCTCGAGGCCGGCAATCTCGACGCGCAGCGAGCGCACCTCGCCCTCGTCCGCGCCGGACTTGCCACCGCCGCGCATCATGGACCGTATGAAGCCGGTCTTCTTGGCCGGCGGTGCCGCCGTGCCGGCCGACTCGGCCGCGCGCCTGCTCAGCGCCTGCATACGGTGCCTCTTGGCCGTGAGCATCTCCCTGACCGCGTCGAGCCCCTCCTCCCGGCGCGCAATGTCGGCGTCGGTGAGGGGACCGCGCCTGCCCCGCCGCCGCGCGTCGCCAAACGTGTACCACGGCGTCGACACGGCGGCGGACCCGGCCAGCAGAGCCATGAGGCATATCCCCACTACGCCCACGCGCTCCAGGCACGCCGTGGTGAGCATGTCGACCAGGGCCACGATGCCCATCCGGCCGTCCCCCCGCAGCTGCTTCCTTGCCGCAGACGAGGACGAGGACGAGGTGGCGGCGATCTCCGCCGCCGTGACGGGACCGCCTCCGCCCCCGTCGGGCACGACGCCGCCGATGATGCCGAAGACGACGAGCCACAGGACGAACAGGACCGTCTGCAGCGTCCGCGCCGTCCCGGGGGCCCTGCCGCCGCTCCCGCGTCGGAAGCGCCACCCGGCGGCGCTCAGGAGGCTCCCGCACTCCATCCACGGCAGCACGGCCACCAGCAGCACCAGCAGCGACCGCACCGTCCACCCGAGCGCCAGGGTTCGCGCCGTCGGGTCCGCCACCCCCAGGATCTCGGCGAGGATCAGCGCGGCCAGCGCCGAGGCCAGCGCCAGCGTGACCCCGAACAGCCGCTCCGTCAGGATCCGCGCCCCGCTCCGAGCCCCGTGCTGCGCGTGCGCCTGCCGCAGCGCCTCGGGCGCGTGGTGCGGAAGGACGTGCTCCTCCCCGTCCAGGGACTCGTCGTGCGACCGGCTGAGGCGCGGCAGGATGTGCCGCGTCGCACCCATATACGTGATGGCCAGGATGGCCGCGAACGGGACCAGCGACGCCGTGGTGCTCAGGTTCACGGCGGTGCGCGACGGCGGCGAGCAGCTGTCTGCCGCGGGGGCGCATGGTGAGAACCACATTGCGTCTTGCGCCCGTGTGTGCTGTATGCGTGTGTGCTGTATGCGTGTGTGCTGTATGCGTGTGTGCTGTATGTGTGTGTCGCCTCTCTCCGACTTGTATGCGTGTATATATGATTGACCTTTTTTTCTTCTTTTTTTCCCCTCCTCTTCTTTTCCCGTCGTCGTTTCTCTCTCGTCGCAGATCAACTGCTGTCCCTTGTCCGCGTAATTGTCCTCGTGCCGTCCTCACCCGTACACTTTCGTCCTTTCGTCTCGGGGGTAGTGAGGGAGGTAGAAAGAGAAGGGGGGGGGGAGAGAAAGAGAGAGAGAGATAGTGAGAGATTCTCGTCAGGTCAGGTCAGAGGTCAGAACCAGCGAGTTCAAGTCCATGCACCTCTTTTGCTGTCAACGGTAGGTACATCTGCACGTGAACGGGGGACATGACATGAACATGTGAAGGAGGGGCAAGGGAACGCCCGAGTCAGACCTGTCGCGCCGGCGTTGTTTGGGAAAACGGAGGGAAGAAGAGAGGAAGGGGAAGGTGAGGGAGCGAAGAGGAAGAAGAGAGTGTTTGTTAGCCCTCGCTAAAAAGTGCTTGGATCCTGCTACCTAGTAGGGCAGTGTAGTGTTGTATCATTATTTCGTAGTACACAGTACGTATTACGCGTTGAGAATTGAAATATAGAGAAAAATAGTACATCATACTGTATTATATTATGTATATACATATAAATATATAAATATATATACAAATATATATAAATAATATATAAATATATATATGCATTACCCGTGACTAGTATGGCCCGGAAACGTCATCTCTGCGTCGTCATCTTGGACTGAACAGATTGCCCGTGGCATTCTTCTTCGATGTACGACTTCGTATATCACAAAGCGGCGCCTGCGGGAATCTTGTTTACAGCACCAATTTTTTTTATGGTCCTAGACATTGGGGGAAGGCTGTGCTGTAATGATGATACTTTTTTGTGTTTTCCTGTCTACGGGAGTATCTTACCCTTGGCGAGTGTATTATTCATCATGTACGGCAGACCTGGAGTTATTCCATCACTTGCTACGGTGTATCATTGCACTTGCACTGTACAGATCATCACATCTACACGTATTGTCAATCCAGAGAGTGCAGCCGAGTTTATCGACTCTGCATCTACTCCGTACACATCGCATGATATCAATCACTGTACGGATATAGCTAGCACGAAAAAAAAAAAAAAAAAAACAGGAATCTGAGAGACGGAACCTGAAATGACAGAAGACGACGGAACAGGTGGAAGACCGGGGGGGGGGGGGGGGGGGGGGTTCCTTCTGAAACATCCGCATCCCCACGCCTCCATCTCCCCAGCGTCTCCCCAAAGATCCAAGGGTTTTTTTCCCTCTCCCCCTCCTCCTCCTCTTCTTCTTTTAGGTCTATTTCCATCACTGTTGATTAGTGTTGGTTTCATCATCATTATTTTATTCTCTTTTCAAATACCCCCCCGCCCCTCTCTCTTTCTCTTGTATCTCTTCTTTCCCATCATCCATCTATCTTGAGCTCAGATCTTGTAGCCTTCTGTGTCTCTCTGTGTCTCGTACCGTCTCATAACCGTGCGCATCTTCTTCACTTGCTCTACCAGGTTATGACCAGCCACTACAATCAAGCGCGGTGGATGAGACATCGGTACTCTCACTTCCGTACGCTTTTGTTGTTGTTTTTTTTGTGAAAAAGAAGGGGAAAGAAAACCCCCCCAATGATGCACGAGTACAGATTCTTCAACGCAATAGGAATCACCTTACTATTCATCGCTGGCCGCTGGTCCATCTAGCAGATACCCCGTACTAGACAAGACGCTGGCCGTCTGATGTAGAGACTATCAAGGACCACGGTTTCCCTGTACACCTTCTCTCCCCATATATGACACCGAGGTAGCGCTTATGATATGTATATACTCCACTCTCCCTCGCATCGCATGCCGGATTCACCGGCAGGTCCGGGGTGGCCGTACCGGGTATCCCTGGACTCGTGCGTGTCTGGGGAGATTCTGGCCCGATGTGGCCTCGACATTGATCCCTCTCTCATCGTATGCCGATCCGAGCCGCTACCTCCTCCATCTGGAGAGAACGAGGAAGACGTGGCCGCCGCATCCTCTGGTGAGCGGGCATGTACATGCACGTGCCTGCCCGAGTGCACCCGCACGTGCGTTTCCGCCTCGCAGCGGTCGAGTCTGGTTGTGCTCTCGGAAGAGGGAACCGTCGGTAGAGAGGGCAATGGTCCGGCTGAGTGCCCGTGCATGGGTGCATGTGCGTGCGTGCGTGCGTGCGTGCGTGCGCGTGCGTGCGTGTATAGTCGTAGAGGAGCATCAGCTCACGACGTGGCCTTGCCATTCTCCTCCTCGTCCGACTCCTCATCCGAGTCCACCTTCATGCGCAGCGCGGCGGCCTCCCCCACCTCCATCTTGTGGAGCTGCTCCAGCTTCTGCTGATCGAGCGCCTGCTGACCCGACACCACCTCAAACTCGCCGTCTCCGCCGTCCTCCTCGTCGTCATCGTCCTCCTCTCCCTCGCTGCTCTCGCTGTTGGTGGTTCTGGTCGGCCGGATCGGCGTCTGCTCGCCGTCGGCGTCTCCCGAGCTGGCCTTGGCCTTGTCGTTCTCGCGCGCGGCCGCATTGGCGTCGGCGTCCACCGCGGCGAACAGGGGCGACGACGACGCGCCGGTGCTGGATGCACGCTGCAGGCGCCCGGCCGAGGCTGCGAGGGGCTTGATGGTGGGGTCGAACGAGGCCGGGAGTCCCAGCACCTTGGCCACCTGGTGGGCTTCCTCGTCGGGCGAGATCTGCACCTCGAGGTCGTATGTGCTGGCCGAGTCGCTGTCGGCCTCGTGCTTGCCGTGGTTGGCTGCCAGCATGCGCTGGTACGTCTTTCGCGTCGAGTCGGCGGCGCGCCTCTCCTTCTTCTTGATCCGCTTCTCGGTCGGGCGGACGACGACGACGGGTACGGGCGAGTACTGCAGGCAGTACTTGGAGAAGGAGTTGCGAGTGTTGACTAGACCCTGCAGACCCCCGAGAGAGCGGCCGCGGGTTCCGACGATGAGCATGGCAGGCTGGTACATGTGCATCTGTCCTCCTGGTCAGCCTCTGCGCCACACGCAGCTGGGAGGTGCATGGCACGTGTCTCCAGTCCAGGTGCCTACCAGCTTCTGAAATGTGCCGTGCAGTTTCCCGCCGGCGTACTCGAGCACGAAGCTCAGCGCGTGGTTGGCCGTGTTCCTCTCGAGCACACTCTTCATGATGCCCTGGGCATCCTCCTGGTAGACCTTGGGGCTCACGCGGACGTCCTTCTCAATGACGCGCACGCAGACGACCTCGTCGCCGTCGTCTACGAGCTCGTCGAGGAGCCACTGGAGCGCATAGTCCGAGTACGTATTCCCATCGATGCCGACCATGAAGGTGCGCGACCGACGACCGGCGCGGTAGCCCTTGTGCTTGACGTTGATGGTGAATGACGGGGTGTTGCTGTTGGTCGCCTCGCCCAGCGGCAGGTTATCAAAGGCAACTCTATGCTGGAACCTATCGTTGGAGGGAACCGTCAGCGTCGGCGCCATTATGCCTCGATAGCTGGCCCTGTCCGGGTCGAGCTGCCGTGATGAGAGTATTATGAGCGTTTTGAGGGGTATAATGACAGATAATCGGGGTACGGCCGGTGATTTTAGGTTATTATGGGAACGGAGGGATTGGACCGGCAATTTTGCAGGGAGGGGGGGCTAAGATGATCATGCCTCTGTAACAAAGCTACTAACGCGGGGGGGGAGGGGGGGGGGGGGGAGGATTTGACAGCAGAGAATGACGCGGAATGAGTTCCCACGAGGAGACGGATGCGGGGAAATGCGAGGGAAGAAAAGAAGACTGCGAGAACAAGAAATCGCACGACGTTGTTTTCTCTGCTCCTCCCCCTCTGCTTGACCTGAGCTCCGCCCCCTCCCCCCCCCCTCTCCTCTTGGCCATACAGACCACGCCACTCGGCGCAGCTCAAGAGGCAGCCCAGAGGCAGCCCAGAAGACCATGGAAAGAGGAGACAGGACCCAAGCCAAGTCCGGCGGCAGCGGGGTAATGAATTGCATGGCAATGGCAAGCCCACTGCTAATAAGCGTGTGCGTGCTAAGCGTGTGTGCTAAGCGTGTGCGCATCCAAAGGAGCCCATTTTTAAGGCTCCACGATGGGATGGCGGCATTTCATGTGCAGTGGGCAGTGGGGCACGACCGACGTCCGGGAGAGCTCCCGGCCTGGTGGATCGTCATGCCTCGTACCATGGCTCGGGCCCATCCATGCCTTGGCCTCGGGTCCGTGTCTTAGGGGGGGGGGGGGGGGGCTATTCCTTGATAGGCCGTCGCCATGGAAGGCAAGGCTGAAAAGAAATTCGGACGATTGAAGGATGAGAACAAGACAAAAAAAAAAAAAAGAGAGAGAACAGAGTTGAAACGAGATGAATAGTCAGATGGTCGTCATATGCTGAGTGCCGTCAATCGTGCATGTGGCGACCAGATTTATCTGCTGCATCTCGTCGCATCGACCAGCTGCTGTGTGAATCGTGACGGCCAAACTGCATCGTAGGATTCGTCCGCGCAACAACAATCAATGCAGGAATAGAGTGTGTGGGTGTGTGTGGGTGTGTGTGCCATGCAAGGTTGTTGGCAGGGGTATGGGTGTGTGCGAGAAGGGGAGAGAGAGTAATACGCAGTCAAACCAATGACACCAGAACAGAATGTAAGTGGATAGTGGAAGAACATGGTGAGACATGCAGAGATAAGGATAATAAAACGTGTAAATGAAGAGATGGATCAGAAAAAAAGAAAGGAAAGAAAAGAAAAAGGGGGATCGAGACGGGGAAAAGAGAATGTCAATGGCAGGGAATCGAAGACGGAGTGACAGAGAGAGATAGATACAGACCTGTTTGGCTTGGGAGACGCATTTCGCAGTCTTCCCTTGTCGATGGACTTCTCTTTGCCCTGGGGCAGCAGTGGATTACGCGGCAGTTGGATGGACACAGATGAATGCCTTCTAAGTCCTTCGATCGGGGTGAGTTGTTCGCCGCTGCTGCCGACGGCGCCACCGTTGTTGTTGGTGATGGTACCGCCATACCTGTTGCTCGAATCGCTCGCACCTGCGCTGCTGCTGACGATCGTGGGGCCATCACCGGTGGCGATCACGGGGAGCGTATCCAAGTTTGTCGACGACTTGCGATCGGAGGACGAGTCGATGCTATCGTTTGTCCTGCCGCTGGTTGTCGAGCCGCCCGTCATGTCTCTGGCAGCTGCTGCAGACGCTGTAGGCGAGTACGGCATGGCCGGTAGGGACTTGGGGGAGATGTTTCCCGTCGAGATGGAAAGCTTCAATGGTCTGTCCATTGTCTGTCTCTTTTCTTTTCTTTCTCCTGGTGCTTCTTCTCGAGGAACCAGAGATTCCGGGGATGACTGAGTAGAGCTGTCCAGCAGATGAAACCGTGCCGTTCGTTACCAAGGGAGGGAGAAGAGAGATGAGCGGAGAGAGAGACAAGAGAAGGGGTGAGCGACGCCAAGGATGTTGGGTATAATATTATATATGATGGCAGTATATGATAGTACACCCGAGGAGCGAGGGAAGGCAAGGAAGGGGAAGAAGAGAGAGGGAAGAGAAAAAAAAAAGGGAAGAAAAAAAGAGGCAAGAAAAAATAAAGCAACACAGCTGTAGGATGGTTCAGGACGCGATTACACGTCGCATCTCTGAGCTTGGTGGCTCTTTCCTGTTGAGATTTGTCGTAATGGAGAGGCAGGGAGGGGTTGGAGGTCTGTGTGCGCGCGCGCGTACGTGTGTATACGGAAGAGTAGAGAGTAGTATTATCACCCCAGTCGTCATCCGCAGTCCGTTTTCATGTACTCGTACTCGGACGCTAATAGGGTAGGTTCGGAGAGGGAAAAGAAGAATAGGATAAATAAGAATGAGGGAATGGACAGGGGACCAGATATCGACGGTACGGGGACTGGACAATTCGGGAGGATTCGCTATCGGCGGTTGCTGGCGGTGTAGTAGACCTTCCGTATTATTATGAAGTCGACGGTACAGGGAGAAGAAAAGAGATGAAGGTGGTGGCGGTGGTGATGGCGGTTACGTGCAGGATGCACAATATACGGCGTCGTCGTCGGTGGCTGAGGCTGATGCTGATACGGATGACAATAATATTACGTCGTAGATAGAGGGGAGGATGAGGAGGAAACTACAGTCCAGGCTGGACAGGATGTACCTGTAGAAGAAGATGTGAAGGAAGAGAGAGAGAGAGAGAGAGGGTGGGGAGATGGAATGGTTTCAATATTGAATCGTGAGAGAAGCAAGGAAGCTCTGCGCCCCCCAATCTTGGCATTCCTAGCTACGAGTAGTAATACGGTATTACTCTACATATATTCCAGTATTATTATTGCATGGGCTCGACCGGTCCTCGAAACTGTCTACGATGCCAATCTGGAGGGCAAGAGCATTTGAAGGTTGAGGGGGGGGGGGAGGGGGGGGGGGGGGGGACTGTTAGCTGTTATATAGCCCTCTCTGGAATCATGGTCATGAGGAGTGATAGGCCTTACCTGGGTTCCAAGCGAA